ACGTCTACTCCTGTCACTTAGGTTTTTGTTCCGAATACTATTATAGGGGGTATTAGTCATTCAAAAATCTTTCAAGCTCACTGGTGTCTGCCCCTTGCACCAGCAATTGTAATTTTCTGCTTTCGTCAATTGTAATTTTCAGTTTTTATCAATCAATGTTCAATTTACTTTCAATGTATTCAAATTCTCTATCGTAAGCTTTCTACAAAATTGTAATCAAATTTTCTTTCGTCCCGACGCGACCGAGAAAAGGCGGAAGGTAGTCTAGCGGAGCAGACTACTGCCGTACGGTGTCTTTTTCTGTGCCAAGAAGAAAGGCACCCCGTGAAACACGGGTTTGCTTGGAGGGGTCGGGCTTTTTGAGCTCTGCCCCATGTTGGTTAGGGTTGGTCGGGCAGTCTCTTGTGCCCGTTTTTTCCCTTTGGACGGGGCATTTGTTAGGGTTTTGGACTTCGAGCCCCTTGCCCTCTGATGTACGTTATCCAAGAGTGCAGATGGATTGAAAAACATTTCAAGTTCTGCAAAAAAAAAATAAAAAAGATATTAGCTCGAACTATAGATCAATGCTTAGGCAAGAAATCGCAACATTACACAAAAAAAAAGTGAAAAGAAAAATCATACGCTTGAGGCCTTTCACGTTGGCAAGGTCGAGGGCGTCATCCTCGAGTAGATAGTCGATCTTCTTTGCCAAAGGATCGTGATTCACTAACCTCAACCTATCTCTCTCTAAAACCTCGAAATAGGCCTAATCTTCGTTAAACATATCCTTATTAGGAATTTCCCACTTCGGGCTAAAATGATGGTCGGGGTCCTGAGGCCTCACAAAAAAGAATCTTTCTTTCCAACCCCGAAGTGAGCTCGGTGTTTCAAGTGCCTCCTTGGTTGATAAGCAAACGAAACAATTGTACCTCGGGGAGAATTTCATATCATAGACCATTCATAAGAGATCGAGTCTAGGCTCGATCTCGAGACACCTAAATAATATAAAGAAGTATACCAGCAATCTCCAACTGTTCGGGGCTAGTTGGCCAAGGCATAAATAGTACGAGGTCAAGAAATGGATAAAGAATGGGTGAAGGGGCCACCTAAGCCCGACCTTTAGAGCGTCTCTAAAAAAGGTCATCTCTCCCTCTCGAGCTTCTAACACGGTCTCAGTAGACCCTGGGGCTCTCACATCACAAATGGGCATAACCCCGAACTCTCTCGCTATCTTAATAATCACATGTTCTTTATACTTGGTTGGTTCTTTAGGATAGACCAAGTCGTCGGTATGAAAACTAACAGGAATGGCCCTGGGGATCAGGGATGTACCTACGTCCTTAGATTTATCACTACGGTTCGAGGTTCTGGATGGACAGCTACTATCACTCTTACTCGACCCCGTACTACTACTACTCGACATAATACTAAATCAAATAATTAAAACTTAAAGTCTCGAACTCTTACGTTTTTTGGATGATCGCTTACTAACCCACTATCCCTGAGCTCGAGCTTTCTTTTACTGGAGAGTGAAAAGTGAAAAGTGAAAGTGAAATGTGGTGACTATTTATAGGGGTTTTTGGAAGGTCAACGGTCTATTAATCCTGGCCTTTGAACGAAGACACGTGGCGGCCATCCAAGATCGTGACCTGACAGTGCACATGGCAGCCATCTGAGGTCGTTCTCTGACATCTCATTCAACGTTTGACACGTGGAAAGACGTATGGACATCTATGCCTTTACATCTTTACTCGTAGATCATGCTTGGACAGAAAATCTACGACCTCGATGCACGGGGGCCTGTGATGACCCCAAATCTTGTAATCCCAAACTCGATCCCTTGACCCCGACCTTGACATCACCCAAAACTACCAAATCAAGGTCGAGCCTTTAAGGTCGGGGTATGTCAACTCGCCACGCACTTCTTAACGACCTATGAGTGCACTAATTCTACTTAAGTCGCAATCCTTACCCTATTTGACTCCTTCGACTCAAACAATTATTGAACACTTGGAATGAAACACTAACTGAAACACTAACTCCTTATCCTACAAGGATAAGGACCACAAAAGGATAAGTTCTTCTAGAACTCTATCATTAACACCTATAAATATACAACCCGTGCTCATTCTTGAGGTACGTTTTTCATTATTTCCAGTTTATAGTCTCACACACTAAATTCCCTATCTGACTTAAGCATCGGAGGGGCGACGAGCACACACCTTGTTGCCTTTGTTGCAGGTATTCGAAGGCCATTCGTGTTTATCAAAGTTCGGAGTTCAATCATCGAGTTCAAGATATTTTAGGTACTATTTTTTGGTAGCATCACATATCATCCTAGAAAGAGTGCGAATCACCGCAAGTTGCAGTGTTTTCCACCCACATCGAGCTTCTGCAGATTCATCCTTCTTCCTTTTCTTTTCTTTTTCTTTTTTAATTTTTGAGTGGTGTAATGATTGATGGCTCGATGTTGGAGGTGTGCGGTGCAGTGATGGTTGAGGTGTCAGGTGTGTGGTGCAGCGGTGCTGTGCTACTACGTTGTTGTAGGTGCCGTGATGGTGTGGTGTGGTGCGGTGGAGGTGGAGGTGGAGGTGGAGGTGGAGGTAGAGGTGTGCGGTGTGATGACTAGGACTACTGTGTACGGTGGTGGCTCTGACGGCGTGCAGTGGTTTTGATCGATTGTTATGATGTGATAGGGGTGGCTTCGGCAGTGGTGGTGCGGTGTTGGGGATAGTGGTGGTGTGTTTTTGGTCATTGTGTTTTGGTTGTGTTGGGGATTTTGGTCGTTCTTGTTGGTAGTAGAACTGGTAGTGCTCGTTGTATCGATGGCGAGATGGTGGTCGCGATTGTGTGGTGTAGGCAGTGGTGTGTTTTGGTGGCCATTTTTTTTTTTGGGTTGTGGTGGTGTTGTAGCGGGGTGGGTGTAATAGTTATTGTGGCAAATTATTTAGTTGATTTATGACCAAGTATTGATGGTGGATTTGGATTGGGGGTGAGGTGTTTAATGTATGTGACCAACGATTTGATATTTGGTTATTAACTATTAAATCGTGACTTTAAAATTCGATAATTTATGACCAACAAATTTGAAAATATGTTATCGATAGATAAACTATGACCGATAATTTTTTTTGATCTGTGACCTATAAAATTTTTTATTTATGACCTTGAATAATCTGTAACCAATTAATTTGATAATATGTGAATAATAAATAAGTTGTGACCTACAATTATGTATATGTGGCCATTAATTGTATATTTGTGATGTTATTATGTTTAATTAATCAATATTTTTAATTAATTAGTTAATACCTAATTTTGCATTTTTTAAACTTAAAACCTAAATTTTGAATTGTCCATACTTAATTAATGACTTATGAATTTTTCCCATCTCTTAAAGCCTTGAGAGATTTGGCCCATGTCCAAGGCATCATATCCTTAAAGAACCAAACAAGAATTCTGGGCCGGAAAAATGTTAGCATTATTCAGTATTGTCAAAGACCAGAACTCAGATGTACAATCCTAAAGCATTACCACAACCACCAGCAATTGAGAACACTTACAATTTAGCCCAAGATACGAGGTTATGACATTATTGAATTGGATCTTAATCAAAGAAAATAATACAAAGTCATTGTAAGTTTATTCATACATGAAGTTGTAAATTTACATATCAACAAAAAGAAAAACAAACTCGTTGTCTCGATGAACTAGAAATAACCTATATTATACAAAACTACGACATATAACTGAACTAGTATCATGGCTTCCAAAAGACACCAAGTTCTGCACAGCAAAACAATAGCAACATAACGAACTTCATATTGCATTTTGAACCTTCTTGTGTGGTTGACATAGCTGGTGAGGTAGTAGAAGCTGATCACGAGCATTCTGATTCTTGGTGGGTGCACATAGCTGGTAAGGTAGTAGAATCGGACCACGAACATTCTGATTCTTGCTGGGTGCACACAGCTGGTGAGGTAGTAGAAGCTGATCACGAGCATTCTGATTCTTGGTGGGTGCACATAGCTGGTAAGGTAGTAGAATCGGACCACGAACATTCTGATTCTTGCTGGGTGCACACAGCTGGTGAGGTAGTAGAATCGGACCATGAACATTCGGACCACGAACATTCTGATTCTTGCCGGGTGCACATAGCCGGTGAGGTAGTAGAATCGGACCACGAACATTCTGATTCTTGCCTGGTGCACATAGCGGACCACGAACATTCTGATTCTTGATAGGTGTACATTGCTGATAAGGTGGTAGAATCTGAGCACCAACATTCTGATTCTTGATGGGTGCACATTGCTGATAAGGCAGTAGAATCTGACCACGAACATTCTCGTTCTTGCGGGGTGCACATAACAGACGAGATACAATATTACATGAAGCAGTAGGTTTTTCCTGCTCCGGTCGAGTGGTAAATAGGTTCAATTCAGAAGCCCATATACCAGTCGAAAAGGGATTAGTCCGAGAGAGCAGCACTCGATCGTTAAAATTTGGAGGCAATGCTTTTAAATTCTTGACAATAAATGGATGATCCAATAGCATGTCGGCTGTCCATCTGTCTCCATGATACTTTTCGAAGCATTTATTCAAGAAATCTTTTGCAATATCTGAAATATTTTCAGGTATTGGATTACCAAATGCAATCTCCTGAATAATCTCTTCTTTACTTCCAGCAGTCGACCAGATGAGTTTCCCTGTGATCATCTCCACGATAGTGCAACCAAGAGACCATATATCACTAACTGGCTTGTTCTTCCCCTTAACTATCGATTCTGGGGACGAATAGCGCAGTGTGCCTCTGATGTTAATCGATCGCTCAGAAGGCAAGATTTTGTCGTTTCCAATTTTCGTGGCCAGTCCAAAATCTGCTATCTTGAGATTGTGTACATTACTACCATCTGTGCTGGGAAAGACAAGAATATTGCTGGGTTTTATGTCGCAATGAACGTACCCTTTCTCATGAACGTGAGAGAGACCCTTAAGCAGCATATAACTGTAACACGCAACGAGAGATTCTGGCATATTGCCGGCTGATTTCTTGATCAAATCGGCGAGGGATCCACCAGATGCGTATTCAAGGAGAAGATTGTAGACCTTTCTATTGTTTTCATAGCTTATATCCTCTCCAAAACACTGGACAATTTCTCGGCAGCCTCTCAGTTCGAACAAAATATCTCCTTCAATCTTCAGCGAAGTCGAATGCGAAATAGCTGCGGACTTAACGGCGGCGGTGGCAATAGAAAGATGAGGATTGAACTTTTCCGCCAAATATACTGTTCCATACGTACCTGCACCAAGATTGTGAGCTTTCTTCCAGGAATCCATTAATTTTCTTTTTCTTGACTATAAATTGAAACGAAATATAGTGAAATTTTAGAACAAAGTGAAGCGAAAATTTAGGGTTTATGCTGAATTTTTTCTTCCCTTAATTATAGTATATAGAGGTAATGGCAAGTTCATTCATGGTAGAATTAGGAATTTTATTTCTCATTGAAGTCATGACAAGTTCACTCACGGTAGAACTAGGAATTTTAAGTTCTGAGTGGAATTTCAATTATGAAAGTACTATTGTTTCCGTGTTGACGTTGAATCCTGTGTTTGAAAAATTTGAAATCCTGTCAAGTGTTTTTAAACCGGAATTTGTTAGCTAAAATATTGTATATTAAAATAACTTAATTAATTACCGTAAACAAGTAATCTAAAATTGTAGGAAATAATAGAAGAGCAAGTGAACTTTTAAGTCAAGGCTAGGGCTGGACAAAACTTTCGAACCGTACCGACCGAACCGAAAAGAACCGAACCCGACGGTTCTTCTCAAGTTAAATACCCGAACGGGTATTTGAATCAAGAACCGACGGGTATGGTTCGGTTCTCGGTTCTAGGCCAAGACCCGAATAACCGAATAAGAACTGAATCTCCGTAATTTTTTTAATTAATTTATTTTAAATAAGTAAAAAAAATTTATTTTTTCTATATAAATTTGTTAACTAGTTAATTTAGTTCAAACTACAAAATATGATTTTCCAATTTCTAATATTTAGTTCAAAATCGACTTAATCAAATTGACCTCAATTTTATCCAAATCTATTATTTTACTGTAGTGTTGTTTCTACCGGAAAAAATCGAATTAAAACTCTACAACATCTCTCTTAATTATTTTGAGCTCGCTATCTTTCTCTTTCTATAATTTTGATAATCAAATTTATGAAGAATTCAGCAAAGATAGATGTGAAACACATAAGATTGAACTACGTTATTTTGTAAGAGCTAATATTAAATATATCATTAATTAAATTAACGTAACTTTGTATATATTAAAAAATTTAATTATAATACGGAACCGAATAGAACCGAACCGGACCGAACCGAACCGAATGGAACCGAACCCGAACGGTTCCATAATTAAATTTGGACCCGACGGTTCCACTTACTAAATACCCAAAATTTCGGGTCGGTTCGGTTCTCGTTAGAACCGAACCAGACCATGTCCAACCCTAGTCAAGGCACGTTTAAACACAGTTTAATTAAAACGGATACATTCCTCACCATCAGCACTTGATGTATAACTCGAACGTTTGTTTCCCAATATACAACGGAAAATTAGTAGAGTCTGAGCATTGCAAATGCTACTCCAACGAACTGACTTAGCATTTGAACACTATCACCACCAAGACCTTGATAGAAAGTGGAAAATATATATACAGACAGAAGACAAAATTTTATGCAAAGAAGAGAGATTAAGGGAGGAAGATGACTAAATAAATAGGGTGAAACGGAGAATTGATAGGCTAGGAGTTATGCCATTAACCACAATTAACCCGGCTTTTAATCTCTCCATTAACACCGACATAATCAATTACAAAATGTAGACTCTCTTAAGGGTCAATTTTTGGTCCATTCGGTTTGACATATGAGTAAAATGCACTCGAGATTGAATTTTTAAACATTGCGTAAAATGCACTCGAGATCATTGAACTCTTATCATATTTGCAATTAGGTCACTTAACTTCAATTTGATATTATCAAGCTAGCTACCACTTCCCCAAACCTATGCACCATAGTCACCCCCTTGGACATCATTTGCTAGTTGGGATATGCACGAGGCTGCTACCCCTAAAGACAACGTTTACATTTACAATTGCCATTTACAAATATTTAATTTATAACTTTCATCCTTGAATGAATAATTACACAATAACTCTTACGTTAAAAATCTTATTTGAAAAAAAAAAAAATCAATACGACAAAAATACCAAACGAAGAAAAAAAGTAAAATAAAAAATTAAGAGTTGTCTTATTAAAACTTTGTCAAGAAAATTCAACTAGACAAAACTAGAGCGAATGAAAAAGAGTACAAATATCCATTTGATTTCAATTAATGAAAACCAATGTGAGCCAATTTCTTCAATGTCACAAATTTGATGAAATGTGTTCCATATTGTTTTATTATAGCCTTAAAGTAATATCATTTTTTGTACGAAATATTTATTTATCCCTGATTGACTGTAGTTAACATAATGGTTGAAATCTACATAAAAGGTCATTAATCATTCTATTCACATGTGATTATCATGATGATTTGTGTAGCATACATATTCATGAAAGTATTATCTACTACAATACTTGAGAAGTTAATAAATACGATATATAGCTAGATCTTAGGTAATATTATCATGGTGGTTAATAAATACATGTTATATTTTTTTTTTCTCGATTAAAGATTTGTCAAATTGATTTTTATAGAAAGGGTGTCAGTGAGACAACTTTCATAATTTATTAAAAAGAATAATGCACCAACATCATCCTAACTAACTAATATCAAATATTGACAAGATAAAAATGGAGCATCCATTGCACTAAGATACGATATTTCAAGACCCATAAGACATTCATTATCATTTCGATGGTTGAAAATGATCCTCTTTTCAGTTCAAGTAAAAAATAATCATCAAGTGTCAATACATATATCATTTTTCCATATAAAATATTTTGAAGACTATTATTATTATTATTATTATTATTATTATTATTATTATTATTATTATTATTATTAGGTGATTTGTTTTACATAAATCGATTCGTGAACAAGAATTCAATTGGTTAAATGTTGGATATGCAGGTTCACAACAAATTTCATTCTTCCACAATCATTTTATCATGAATTCTTTTTTTTTAAATAATCAACTGCCTTCAAAAACCCTTTCAAGAGTTTCAATAATGTATAATTCTTCAACAGTAATAATAACATATCAAGATGTTGATATTGTTTAGACACACATGGACACATATGTTCATTATTTTATCATATTTTTCTACAAATATTCATTAATATGAATATACGATCATATTGTATAAGTCCAAATTACAAAGTGCCTCTATAATTCTCGAAAATTTAAACTATATTTTTGGGCATATAAATCCTTTAGAGATTTTATAGAGATACTATTGTTAGACATGATATATTAGTAGGTCTAATCATATAAATTACAAATATATTAAAGTTTTATTCATCGGGTAACATCATATAGACTTGTTCATCCAGTACATGTAAATTTATCTATTTATATAATTTTTTATAAAAATCATGTAAAGAGTCGTGCATAATATTTGACTGCTTTATTTTTTTTCATTTCCTTTTACATAGGTACTATTAACATTATATGGTTTGGTGCTTGGACCACATGTCCAAAAGCTTCAGATTTGAAGATTTTTTCTTTTGCTAGACGTAAGTTCATATTAGAAATTTATAATTTAAGTTGGTTAAACAATTTAGTTTTTATTTTTTTTTTTTACATTTTGTATGACTTACAATTACTAATATTATCTACATATTTTGTAGACCTATAACTTATAAACATTTAAAATTGCCCTAAATTATAACCTTTTTACTATTTAAAAATCAAAGTCAAACTTTAATTTTATCCTCACATTTCATAAGACCACACAACCACTATCCACTCTATCTCTCTCCATACACACACACACACACACACACACACACACACACACCAGTGCTTGTCTCGTGCGTTGTTCGAGTATTGTATAGATTATGTTATTATTAGCGTCGAATGTGTAGAATTTTTTTTTTTTTTAAAAAGAGTTTTAAGTTTTTGAAAATGAGAAATTACTGAGATGTAAATTGAAGAGAAAGTAATTTCATTGAAAGCTATTAAATAACTACAAATCATACCAAAAATATATACAATATTATCCAAAATGAACTGGCTTGATTTTTCAGTTATTTCAAAAGATCTGCTGAATTTTTTCATTCCATTTTCTACTCTATTTTTTCTTTCATTTTGTCTGATGTAAATGGATTTGAACTAGGATTTTCTGATTGGTGAATAGCTGATTTGAAAAGAGTTTTTTTTCTGGAAAGGACCAATTATTATCTGCATCTATGTCAAAAATTTTCAAATTTTTTTCAGAATCAATATTCTTTTGATGGCATTCTTGTGCTTCATCTGTAGTTAAACATTCGACGGAAATGATATTAAAATTTGTAATTGGATGAATTAGGTTTTGCTTGAGTCGCTTTGAGATAGAATGTTCTTTCAATGTTTTGCATTTTTCCAATTATATCTACAAAATCTGCTTGTGAACCCTATATAAAAAATATGAGTGTTATGAAAAAATCGATCAAATATACCAAAATAGAGATTGAAGAAGACTGTAAATTATTACAAAGTTTGTTTCTTCCATCAAAATTTGTGCATCTGTGAACATAAATTTTTCTGCAGCTTCACTAATTGCACTTGCATTTATACATCTTGTGACATCTGATAATTGGACATATGCTCTTGCTCTGAAATAAAGAGAGTAGTTATTTATTTATGTAGGAAAAAATATATATATATTATTAGAAAGGTGTGGAAAAACATATTTTACCGAGTAATAGCTTTGGAATTGGAACTTTTACAGAAAATACAAACATATATTTCACCAAAATCAACGCTTGATCGCTGATAACAACTGCTGCAAGTCATGTACCAACATTTCTGATATATTTTTTCCATTTTTGCAGTGGCATTCACCCAATAAAATTTTCTCTGAAAAAAAGAAATTGTAACTTATAAAGAAACATAAATAGAAACCATAATTTTATTGTGTACAGGAATATATAAATACTGGTAAAAGTCGGTCTTGTAGAATTTGAATTAAGATAAATTTGTTGTGCATTGGAGGAGACAATTTTGTGGCAGATTTTTTAGTGTATGGCTTTTTCAAAATGAACTCATCGACTTTGTCTAAACTTGTATCTTTCCTGAAAAATGAAAGAGTAAATAAGCTGAATAAAATCATAATAATTGTAAGCGGAAGGATATACATACATACCATTCAACCCATTTTTGTACTGCAACGAAAAGACTATTCATGAAGGTACTACGAAATTTTGTGGAGAGTTTTAAACCTATATAATTCATTGATGTAAGATATGAAATGCATTTTTAAGCAGAATTTAAATAAGGAAAAATAATAAAAACTTACCCAAAAAAGAGGTGACTTTTAGGTTTGTTGCAAAGATTACTGGTTTCTTGTCAATATTTTCTGAGAATAATTTGCATTCTCTGTCAACAAATGAATCCCACAGTGTCAATATCATTGTTTTGAATTTTTGGTCTAGAAGTATTACATCTTATACCCAAGTTTGGTTGACATCCTTTGATTGAATCAATCGTTTAGGTATCATATCAATCACAATAGCCAAAATGTCTGCAAAATGAAAAATAAATAAATTTTTTTTGTGTTGACTGTAATATTAATTATTTAATTAAATTATATATAATAGTATCAGTGTTTGTGCCCATAAATGCTCAACTTCATCGAAAAAAGTCAGGTGATATGTCAAGAAAACAAGTTCCAGATTATTGTCATTCAACTCTTGAACACGAGTTTCTTCAGAAATCGTCCATTGTAGAGCTCCTGTTGAATATTTGTAGTTTCTAGTGTTGTTTTTAATATAAGCTTTAGAAATTGCATAGGTCTTTCCAAGGAGAAGTTGATTTTCGAACGCAGTAATAATATATATATATATATATATATATATACATATGTACATGTATATATATACATATATACATGTATATATATATATAAAAGAGAGAAAACATATTTTCAAAAAGAAAAATAATACTAAATAATTGTATAACTTACGTCAGTATCCATTAACATTATGTGTTGGTATCTTCCATTGCCTTGTCTTGAAGGTTTTGGTGATTGTTTCTCTACAATAATTATTTTGACTTTCCATTTTTTATTGTTGGATAGAATTTCTGGTATAAGTTGGTACTTTTCTTCCATTGTGATTGTGATGGTAACAATATTTGTATAAACAGGATGAAGACACAGAGTAAATTTTGAGAAAAAATGTTTCTTTTGAGATAACCAATCAGAAACAAAAGATGTATATAGACATCTAGAGTTATATCATTTATATTTTTATATTATTATATTTATCAGTAATACATTGTAAAATCTAATCTATAGACATACCTGGTATGGGGATTACTTGTAAACTTGTAGTACTAATGAGATGAATTGAATTAATTATTAGAGTAAGATATTTAAAATAATATTAACTCTATTTTTTGTACCATATAAAATTAAAATAAAGCTATGTTACAGTCTGTAAAATTTCATCGTGCTATACTTTATTGAGTAATAATTTTTGTAATTTGATTTTATATACTGTCATACTTTATACTGAGTAATAACTTTGTAAATAGATATGGAGTGGTAAAGTTTTAGTTTCAGTACAAGTAGAATGATAATTTATGATGAGAAAGAGTTTTTAGAAAAGATATTTATGATATACTTTGTTCATCCAAGACAAATTTGATAAAATTAGTTATTAGTTTTTTTTTTTAATATAAATGTGAATGAATATGTTAAAGAAATAAAAAAAGAAAAAAGAAAAAAAGTCAAAAAAAATTATTTCCTACAATTATTATCCCAACTAACTCACAAAACAACAAAATAATATTCCTACAATTATTATCTTCACTTATTATCTCAACTACTAAAAGTCACGAGAATTCATACGTGAACAATCTTTCTAACATTTTATCTCATCAATCCTACTAACTTTTTACCAATTTTACATTTTTGCAAAAGAGGAAGAGTTTTTAAAGTAGAGAGAAGTGCCAAGGTGCAAACATTTAGCTAGATAAAAGGTAAGATTTATTGTTAAAATCAATAAGAAAATGTTGTCGGGCACCGGAGGTGCATAAATAGGCGGCCTCTCCGTACACGGAGAGGCTTACTTTCCGTGCATGAAGAGACTTGTCTTGCTTTCTTAATCTTCGTATGTATACAATATATTCATATTTTCTTCTTAAAAATAATTTAGATTTTATACTAAAATATTTACTGCAGAACTAATAATGCAAAAGCAAGTAAAAATTATAACAAGTTTCAAAATAAAATCTCCAACAGGCAGAAAAAGAAAGATAAGATGAAGGGAAAATTATAGTCTTAGTTATTCATATAAGCCTTCATTCTACCTGAAATATAGCATGTATAAAATCTTGGAATTTTAGTATTCTTTTGTCATAATTATCTAAAACATTGATAATAATACCTGAATTGTTGCCATTGTGAGATGTAGAAATAGAGTTAGAATTTATGGAATTCTTAAAAATATAAATTTGTCTATTTTTTTTATTATGTAGATGTCTCTAGAATATATTGTCTCTCCAAATCAATGGTTCTCTGCCACTATCTGTTAATATCCAAATCGTAAATATCTCTAAGATTTTATTGAATTTATAGATGCAAATCAACAAGCTTCTATTATGTGTAACAATTTCTATGAATTTTTTGCAGGAGTTATTTATAGGGAAGAAGAGGAACAATTTAGTAGAAGATTGATACATGAATTTGTGATGAGGCTTGTGCATTGTGGTAAAAATAACGAAGTGTGGGTACGGTTAGATGATCGTATTGCCAAGTTTAGCATGCAAGAATATTGTCTCATCACTGGATTACCATGCCATAAACCATCTGTGGAGATTAATCATAATAACTATCATCTTATAAATCAATATTTCAATGGTACAAGAAGAATTAATATGAGAATGTTGCATCAAGCGTTCCATTCATGCGAAGACTATATAGATAAATTTAAGCTAGGATTGGTTATGTTTGTGGAGTGTGTTTTGAAACCAACTGGCAAAATTATTGATTATATGACTCTTGGTATGGTTGAGCATCTCGATGACTTTCTTGCTTATCCATGGGATCGAAAAGTATATTTTGTTTTGTTAAATTCTTTGCAAGAATCACAAGTTGAAAGAGTGCAAAGAGTATAACAAAATCAAACAGATTGCAAATATGCATTAAAAGGATATCCACTTGCATTTCAGATAAATTTTTTCTATTCTTTTATTGTTATATATATTACGCATAACTTATTTGTATAACAAAATATTATAATTACTTGCAGTTCTAGATATATGAAGTATTTCAGATTGAAAAAAATTTGGATGTAAGAGATACAAAACAGTACAACGTCCTCGACTGAGAAAACGGTAAAATATTTTTTGGTCACCAAGGAGGTATAACATATTTTTTTACGAATGCACAATTACATTTTTATTTCATCATTTAAAAACTAAACTTAGTTATCATGATTACAGATTGAGGTAGTTACAGTATTATATCCCATTGAAGAAGAGTTATAATTGTCATGGTTTACAACTCTTTCAATGTCAGCGGATAATCAACATAGCATCTTAGATGGTATTGTCAATGTGAAATTAGACAACAAAATACAACAAATCCCAGAAAACATCTTTGTGCAAGAAATGATTATTCACAGTGTTCGAGAACTTCTCTTGGAGTTGCTTCTGCTTTTGATGCTTCCAACTATATAACTTGAGAACAAATGGAAGAAATGCTGGGAATACATAGGCAACGTGTAATATCAGCTGTGTCTGGTGTACGACATAATCCGAAGGAAGAAATATTTCACTGTCAAAACCAGTTGTTTGAAAAACATCAAAAATGGCAAGAAGACTATATGTAATCTAGTATTTGTTCTTACATGGATACTATTCTTGACAGCCACAAACAAGTATTCCAGTAGAAATTTCAACAGCAGCAAAAATGGCAAGAAGATAATATTTTAAGCAACATGCAATCTTATGTGGATAACAGTTTAAGTTCAATGAGATCTTACGTAGATAAATAGAACAAGAATACATTGAGCAATGTATCAAACATAGAAGTCATTATTGGTTTTATACAACAAGATGTTCCTATCCACACAATTTCAATTCTCAATGATTTGCCAAGGCAAACATCAACATATGAACAACAGACGGGAAGTTTTGAAAGGTTGAGAAGAGAAAATAAAGGTAAGGGAAAACAGATATTGTCTTCGTCATAAAAAAGTCGTCCTTTAGAAGCTTATCTAAAGAACAAGTACAACATGATTAAAGATTGGATATTACATAATCAGCCGGGGTAACAAATTTAACCAGTATTAGCTTAAATATATTTTTTTTCAGTGGATAGTAAATTATATTATCTAACATTAATTTATATTTTTTCTATATAGTACTTATTGGGAGGACAGCGGCAATTACATTGGAAGAGACATGTTGAAAAATTTGTTGGATGTAGAAAAAGATGTAACTCCCACAGTGAGTGAAGTTTACTAATTACAATTAATTTAATTTTATGTTTGATATTAATAAATTAAGTTTACATGTATTTATTCTATTGGAGTATTGAGTTGGAGTTGAAGTTACAAATGCGACTTATTAAAGATGGTTCTACCTTAATTTCTAAAGACTATGTAATAATGGATTTCAAATATGAAAATGAGTATTCTAGTATTTTCAACTGGCTAATAGAAGAGAAAAACAAAACACCTAAGGGAGAAGTGGACTTCACTCCGTTAAATGAATATACGAATGGTGTTTCGCCTATGAATGGTCGTAACTGGATGGCGTGCAAGCATCTATTAATTTCATGCTCATTTCTGGCAATTGTTGGTATCTTTTTGTAGTAAATATTTCTGAATAAAAAATTTCAAATATATGACCGTAGCAACGGTATTCTTATACCAGATCAATTCATGATACATGCAAAAGTAACACATGGTACAATCCAAGCATTTATTCTGAATTCTGAGCTTTCTACCAAAAGGATGTAAGAAAACATAGAAGCAAAACAATGCAAGTGGAGATCATACCTTATCTACCATGTGCAGGCAATGGGTGAGCATTTAAATAACTATTTATTTGTTATAAGATTTAATTTTTTCTTTATATTAATGTAGCCTAACATAAAACTGTTTCTTCTATGTTCGTACTAAAATATATAAAAAGTTTTGTCCTAGGGTAGCCAATAGAATTAGTTTCACCTGATAGGATGTCAATTTATAGACAGGTGATGGTAATGAATATTTGTAACAATGAATATTTTCTTTATCCTTCTCCTTAGTTATGTAGTCATGTAATGAGAATAAATGTTGTATAATAAGTTTATGTTGTGTTTTTTTTTTTTCATATTGTTGATGTATATATAGAAAAAATTAAGCTATGGTGAAATTGTGATAAACCTAAACGAATTGATAATGTTTTAGTTTTAGTATAA